GTATTAGCATGTGTTACAAACTTATAGAAGGGAAAGTAAGAATCCAGTACAGCAAAATCAACCATTAAACACATCCCAATGATGGGGGCCAACCAAAGCCCAATGGGGCTCAGCCTCCTGCAGTTCAGGAATGAGGTGAAGGGATCAGGGAACGAACACACAGGTATGCACTTAACTACCATCCCTTCCTCCCTATAAATTCAAGATTTCACACAAAGCTTTGGTTTCTAGCAGTAAACATGGATTTACATTCGTCTGTCTCCTATTAAACAGTCTTGTGGCCACTTTGACGTGAGTTTCTTGCACCTGCATAAAAGTTCCTGAGTGATTTGGAAATACATTCATCGTCCCTTTCTTGGGCTCCCACTCCACTTTCTATGTGACCCCTGTTGCATCTCTTCTTCCCTATGACCCTGTGATTGAAGATTAAGTAGCTTTGATCCATCCAAATACGAGTGAATTTGGGCACGCTTCATATCAAGGATGTGTCTTGACTCAGAAAATAGGAAATGAGGGATCGACTGTTCTTGCTTCTTTGTTTTTTATTTTAAAGCAAATGTATGACGATTGTGGAGACAGCCCCCTAAATTAAATGTATATGTGGGTTTTAGGAGTGGGGGTTCTGAGGAAGTAGGGTAGGAGTGAATATTTTAGAACAGATGATCTGGTTTAAAAGTTCAAATAGGGGAACGGAAATCCAAAGAATGGATGATTCAAGGCCCCCGCTTCAAGAAGGGTTCCCCCCAAAGCTTATACTTCAGATTCTTTTGCCTGCTGCAGAACCTTCTGCTGAAGATGCTTGGGCTATTTTTATTTTAGTACAAAAGAAGTTTGTAAACAATAAAAAATGTAAAAGAACCAACACATTCTGTTTACACAAATTAGGCCACCCAACAATCACCGAATTAGCAACCTGTGAAGTTCTACAAAGCCCTGGACAAATGTAACATCTAGGGGGGCAGCATTTAGAGGAGACAAGAACCCTGCAGGATTAGACCCACCTCACCCAGTGCGTTCTATTGCATTTGCCCCGTTTCAACACAGTGAGCCCGGTTTGCAGCGATCTCATAGCGTGTAAACGAAACCCTTTTCCTCCTTAGCTGCTGTATGACAGTATGGCCGCTGGTCAGGACATGGCTCTGGCCACCACAAACAGGCGCTCGCTGGAGTCCCTCTGGAAGCCAGACAGGAAAAGTCCAGGATATTGAAAAGGTTACGGATATCAGTCCTTGTTTCATATGGCCACCCGGGAACCACAGGATGGGTGTAGAGGAATCATTTGTAAAAGCTGTGCTACCAACTCAGATTTTCTCTCTGAGACACACACACTCTCTCTCTCTGTCTGTTTGTCTGTCTTTTCCCACCCCATTGTGCATGCTTCTTGTTGTTAAGTATTGTGGAGTTGGTTTCGATTTATAGTGACCCTGCACAGGGTTTCCAAGGCTGTAAATCTTTATAGGAGCAGAAAGCCTCATCTTTTTCCCTCGCAGAACAACTGGTAGTTTCGAACTGCTGACTTTGAGGTTAGCAGCCTGATTCATAATAACTATGCTCCAAGAGCTCCTTACTGTGCATGGTTGTTATTGTTGTTGTTGTGAGGTGCCATCGAGTCGGAACCGACTCATAGCGACCCCATGCACAGCAGAACGAAACAATGTCTGATCCTGGGCCAACCTCACTACCGCCGCCACACTTGAGTCCATCGATGATGCCACCTGGCCGACCATCTCGTTGGGTGCCTTCCTCTTTTTCTCTGATCCTCCATCTTACCAAGCATGATATTCTTCTCCAGCGACTGTTCCTTCCGGACATATGTCTAAAGTAGGAGAGACGAAGCTTAGCCATCCTGGCCTCCAAGGAGCACTCTGGCTGCACTTCTCCAAAACAGATCTATTGGTTCTTTTGGCAGTCCATGGCACTTTCTGTATTTTCCTCCAACACCACAACTCAAAGGCATCAATTCTTCTACGATCTTCCTTATTCACTGTCTGTGTTAGGCCTAGCCTAATCCAGTAAAGGATGGATCTGGTGTGTGAGGTGAGTTCTGTATCCTAAGATGAAAAGTTTGGACTAGGCGTCCCTATTACATTAATAGACCACCCTCACCTAACCTTGGCTTCCTCTGAGCCTTCACCTGACCTAGCCTCTCCTAACCTCTCTGCCCCACCTTCAAGTTCACATGAATCCTCAATCTGCCAGTAGAAGATGATCAAGTCATGAGGCAACCCAATGAAAACCTAGTCTCCCATGGCACATTATCAAGGTGGAAGGTTTCAAGAGGACACTATGGCAGAAAAGCCAGCTCTAGTTGGCAAAAATGAGGTACTTGGATAGCTGTACACTCCAGATAGTTGTTCTTTGAGGTGATACAACAACAACAAATTCTTCCTGCTGTGTAGACCTGGAGCTGCTGCCAGCTTATCCCTGAGATTGCTCAGGTACCTGAGAACACAGTGCAGGCATGAGGGCCTTAGATTAAAATACACAAAAATACAAAACCAGAGTATTTAAATTAAGGAACAAAACATTAAAATACACAAGATACGTCTTTCGCACACTACTAGTGCAGTTGGCATTCCGGAGACAGTGGGACCCCAGGTGCCGTTTTCCAAGGCAACAAATAAAAAAACCATATTGGCCCAGAATGGGGTGAGAATGAGCTCAGGAGCCCGAGTCTGCAGTTGTTTCCCAGCTACCCCTTTTGTCTACCATCACAACCCATTGCCTGGGACAATAGCAATCGCCCTGTCCCAGGATTGGGTTATGAGAAACCAAGACATGGAGAAACGTCTGCCCTCCCCTAAGAGACTCCCTCCCACAGAATATAGTGACTTTTAGATTTGGACCATCAGACTGGTCCCCCTGCTTACTCTCTTTATACTGTGGCATGGGAAATTATGTCTCCTTCTTTAAAAGGAAAATTTCCCTAGCCAGGCTGCTTTCAAAAGCTAGGGATTTGGGGGTGGCGCCTCAGATAAAAACTGTCAGACTCTAGGGAAGTTTCTCCTAAAAGCTCTCAATTGCATTTGGATAAAGTCTAGTTGGAATTCCGTTACCTTACTCCTTCCCCCCACCCACCCCCACCAAGAGGGAAGACGGAGTGATAGTGTGGACTCCTACTGGCCCGTGCCCACCCTAGCCCACGTTCTGCACTCTCTGCCCATTGATGCGCGCTCTGTAAAACGTCGTAACAGGAAAAGGACAGCTCTTCCCCACACTGCTGCTCAACACTGGGCCTCTGGGAGCAGGCTGGGGCTGGGGATTTCTTCTTCCTCCCGCAAGGAGACTGGCTTTCCCTGGGAGCTGGGGGCCGGCTGGGCCTTCAGTGGACACGAGGCCACCATATGACTGATCCTCAGACAGAAGTGACACTTCTCGGGCTGGGGTGGCAGCTTGCATTCCTTGCCATGATGGTCTAGACCACCCCAGCTGTAGTATCTGTCTCTTTAGGATCTGTGTCTGCATGTGCCTCCCCTTTGGCCGTCTACGTTCCCACCAGGTCCTGTGGCTCCGATTGATTCCATGCCCTTGGCTGATTTCTTAAAGATGAACTCCGCTGCCTCTCCCTCCTTCAGGCTGCGGAAGCCTGCCATGTGCAACTTGCCCTGCTGTACAAAGATGCCCACCGGGGGTCGAGTGCGGACCCCGCTGTGGGCGGTCATAGACAAGAAGGCGAACCCCGTACGCACGTTGAACCACTTACAGATGCCGGCACCGTGCCGCAGCTGTGGGCCCTCCACCCCACGGGCCGCATCCTCTGGCGCCTCGTCCGCCACCTTGGGGCAGCCACCTGCCAACTGCTGGTTGGACACGGAGCCCGTGTTCATCAACTTGAGCCCGCTTGCCGGGCCATTAGTTTGGGAGCTGCTGGCCCCAGAGAAATCCGGGGGCTACGCATGTGTTTTTACATGTTGTATTCTATGTTTTATGCCCTCACATATAAATTAGGAGTCCGGGTGTGGTGCTGTGGGCTAATGCGTTGGACCACAAAGTTGGTTTGAACCACGAGGTTGGTGGTTCAAGCTCACCAGCTGCTCCTTGGAAACCGTACACAGGGTCACTATGGGTTGGAACCGACTCTCCAGCACTTAACTACAACAGATTAAACCCTACTTTTCTTCAGCTTTTAGTGGGATGATTCCAAAATCTGTGTTGTACATTTGACTTAGTGGATGCTTGCTGTCTTCAGTGTGTTATTGTCCTTACTCCGTCTTGTACCTTTATGTGGGAATCCTGAGATTCTGTCCTAACGTGGGCAGTAGGCCTTGTCAGCAAAATGACAACCTGTCCCGGCTTTTCAAAGTGACTGTGTTTCCCTTCTTGCCCCTTACTGAAGGAAACACAAGATGTTCCTGTGACTCAGAACATGGTAGGGTCCCTGTAGTCAGAACTCACAAATCTCTGTGGGTCCCACTAACATTGGGCCTCCCTCCCAGTCTTGTCTTCTTTTTAAGTTTTTATTGTGAACTGAGTTACAGTTTACATGGGAGACTTTGGTTTGACACTCAGCATTTCATTGCAATGATTACAGTCCCCTGCATGCATCATCATTCGATAGTATTTGCTTCTATTCCCTCTATTTTTTGGGGGAGGGAGGGCACTGTACATAAAAACACTCAGGGGTATGTAATCATTTAAACAACCAAAGGACACTCCTTGGCATTGGGAAACTCTGAAGTTTATCCAATCTCAAACAATTCCTTTTAACGTTTTCCTGTGCAGATCCTGGGAATCCTAGTGTGTTCCCTTAGCTTAACCACAGGACTGCTAACCACAGGGTCGGCGGTTGAAACTTACAGCGGCTCCTTGGAATCTCTGTCCATGGTGGCTATGAGCCGGAACCGACTCTGTGGCTGAAATGACGACAGTGTAGACCCCGAGCCAACACATGGATCTCCGAGCTACCGACTTGTCCCAGCAGTCAAGGAGAGCATGTGACCGCAATTTCTAAGTTTGGTATACTTAGATGTGTGTGTATGTCTGTGTGTGTGAGAGAGAGGATGAGGACGCTGACTTCCGAGCGCGTTAGGGTATTGAACCAGAGCCTGCGAGCCTTCCTTTGCATTCTGTGGGGTCATTAGGTTCTGTATTTTCATCAGTCTGTATACGAGGACCTTCATAAAAACCGGAATTGAGAGATGATACCATTTTCCCATAAACTTCTCGTGGCCCCACGTAGTGTTGGTTTATGCCGCTTTTATTGTCCCGAATGTTCCTGGTCCGCGTCCAGCTGAGGACGTGTTTTTGTTTTCGGAATGTAATCTCTGTGTCTCCCTTTCCCTGAACTTCACTGGCACCCCGTGAGCCCTGTGCTTGTGCATTAGGACTTGCAGTCCGGGAATGTGGGGAATGTGTTTAATACGAGTGCCTGAGAGTCGGTCCGTCTCCTGTCAGATCTTTACAATGGCAGAGTGCTCTCTTTCTCCCCTTCCCGACCTAGATTCCTCTCCTAATGTTTTCTGAAATGATTCGTTTGCTAACTTACTAAGCATGAACATACTTGGGCTCCTTGTTGCTGCTGCCTGTCTCCTTAACGGGTCGAGTTTTCCGTAGAACTTCGGGCCACTTGACATTTCATGTATAAGCGTCCTTCAGAAATTTCCGGGGGAAACATCATCATCTTAACTCTCTGTTTTCCCACCCACTTTTTCAGGTCATTGTGTATACACACGTATGTGCGTGTTTAAATTTACCACCACTCTCAAAGAATTTTTAAGGAGCTCTGGTAGCGTAGTGGTTACGAATCGGGCTGCTAACCTCACAGTCAGCAGTTCGAAACTACCAGCTGTTCTGCGGGAGAAAGATGAGACTTTCTTCTCCCGTAAAGATTGACAGCCTCGGAAACCCTGTACAGGGTCGCTGTGAGTTGGGACCGACTCCACGGCACATAACAACGTGTAACTCAAATAATTTACGACCCCCGTTCAAATGGATATTTTTGTTTTCATTGCTGTTGCTACTTTGCTGGCATGATGTGGCGTACGTGTCAGACTCTGCCAACCCGGTGTTGGTAAATGAAGGTGGCCACAGTTATGAGCGTTTGACAAGAAGAATTTGTGTCTGAGACCCAGGCCTTTACCAGGAGATGTTGTTAGTGAATGAATAAAGCTGATGGCTGTATTATAGAGGAGATGGTGGTTGAATGCAGAACTTTGTGTCAACGCCGTAGGAATCCACACTTCTCCAAGACTGTCAGCCGCAGCCTTGGTTCGTGTGCACGCTGGAGTCCATTGTATCTTGCTGATCCAGAATGTCTGGGATGTTTTTAGGAGTCTGTGTTTGTTGAGGATGTGGCCATGGTCTTCACCCAGGAAGAATGGGACCTGCTGGATGTCGCTCAGCGGAAACTCTACCGAGATGTCATGTTGGAAACCCTGGGGAACCTGGCCTCCGTAGGTAAGAACGGAAGTTTCCTTCGTGCTGGGCTTTCCCAGAAGCACTGGCTTCACGGTGCCCTGAGAGAGTTTCAGCGTGGGAGCTTGTGAGACACTTCCCCTGTGTGGGTTGCAGGTTTCATTCCACTGACTTTACTGCAGATAAACTCACAGCGCTCCATCTTCAGGGACCCCAAGAGTGATGTCTGTCGGCGTTAGGGACACGTTTATGGCTCTGCACTGCTCCCACGTGCTACGTGTCCCGTCATGAGCACAGTGTCAGACCTGCCCATTTGATTTCCCCTCGAATCAATGACGGTGGTGACAATACTCATCCAAGGCCATTGTCTGGGAACACCGGGACACAACCCCGGCCCTGCATGGAGTGAATGCCTTGGCAGCCATCAGCTTGAAAAAGTGTTTGTTGTTGTTGTTGTTGTTTTGGGTGGAGGGCACTGCTGCACAGGTACAGGAGCTGACTTTTCTAATTTTAGCGACGCTCTCCCGTGCCTCTCACCGTGCCGCTCTCTGACTTGGGTGATCACCGTGTCCGATGTCTTCCACGTCGGCTCTCCTAACTGCATCCGTCGGTGCCACCGCGGTGCTCAGTTCTAACGCATTTACGTCCTGGCAGATAGCTTTGCACCCTTCGCCACTTGCTGAAGCAGCGAAATGTGACCTTGGTTTTTTCCCCCTAACGATTTCTTTCCCTTTTATTCCCTATTGTGAACGTCGACTCGAATGATTGGGCCAGTCTCGGGGAAACTTAACGAGGAAGACAAATCAGCGAGCGACCATATGCTGCAGTTTAAGGATGATCACACCTGGCCTTCCATTTTCGCGGAAATCTCTGAATGCCAAGTCAGTGACGACCCGCTGGAGAACCAGGAGAGACCTTTGAGGCGAGTGTTAGTCCAGCAGAAAGCCCCCAAAGTGTCGTGACAGGAAATTGTGCGTATGTGTGTTTATGGACGCATCGGGGTCCTGGTGTAGCGCAGTACGGTAAGCGCTGGACTGTTAACAGCTGGGTCGGCATTTCACACCCACCAGCCAATGCTTGGAAACCTGACGTAGGATGGCTATGGGTCAGAACTGACTCCCCGGCATTTAATAACAAAATCTCCAAAGCTTTGAAGCTGTTGCTAATGCTAGCGGAGTAGCCAGGGATACTGAAGGAAGCGAGCACGTGACAGAGACACCACATCTGTGACCCGTTGGGCTTTGACCTGAGCAAACAGTCCGTGCTGACGCACCCAAGGAGGGTGACTGTCTGCGTCGGTCTCACCTCCTTATGGTACAGCTAATAATCCAATTCCTGCGTGCACCCTAAAAGTCTCAGGAGCCACATAAATGCATGTTCTACCCTCATTTACACAGATAGTTGTACAACCATTAGGAAGCAGTTCAAAGCCCTAGTAATGTGTATGGTAATGTGGGTGGTTGTCATTCGTGGAGTTGGTTCCGACTCATAGCAACCCTACACAGTTTCCAGACTTGTAAATCTGTACAGTGGCAGACAGCCTCATCTTTCTCCCGTGGAACGGCTGGTAGTTTCGAACTGCTGACCTTGAGGTTTGCAGCCCGACTCCTAACCACTGTGCTACCAGAGCTCCTTAATAATGCATATATATGTGTGTGAATGTGTGTGTGTGTATATATATACATATTTGCATGTGTATCTCTCTCTCTCTTTCTCTATCTGTCTATACATATATATATATATATATATATATACACACACACACACACACATACATAGATATAATACTACCAGCTGTTCCACGGGAGAAAGATGAGGCTTTCTGCTCCTCTAAAGATTTACAGCCTTGGAAACCCTGTACAGGTCACTATCAGTCAGATCATAACAACAACAGCAAATATATACAGAGAGAGCTCTGGTAGTGTAATGGTTATGAATCAGGCTGCTAATCTCAAGGTTAGCAGTTTGAAACTACCAGCCGTTCCACGAGAGAAAGATGAGGCTTTCTGCTCCCGTAAAGATTTACAGTCTTGGAAAACCCTGTACAGGGTCGCTATGAGTCGGAACCGACTCCACGGCACATAACAACAACAACAACAAATATATATGCAACTCCTCCACGGCACATAACCACCGCCACTGCACTAGACTGCAAAGTCTGTTTGCACCACAAGGTCAGTGGTTCAAGCTCACCAGCTGCTCCTTGGAAACCCTATATAGTGTCACTGTGGGTCGGAACCGACTCTGCTGCACTTACCGATAAGAACAGTGATAAAAGTGTGTCTTTACAGTCTCGGCAACCTTGTACGGTGTCTCTATGAGTCGGGACTGATTCCATGGCACATAACCACCAACCACCGTTTATAGGCCTGTCACAGTATGTTTTCATAAATGTGAGTCACATATGGAATCGTTCAAAAGATTTAATTTTGACTTAACTATGAGGAAATGGTCACGTTTTACAATAAAATAGCAGTAAAGGTAGTCTTGTTTGCCTTCAGGTATGGGAAATTAGACAAGTCACAGGAGGGAAACCATAAATGTTCTCTCTATCTGGTGATGGTCTAAAACAAAACAAAACAAAAAAAGGATCTCCAACAGTATATTGCTTGTTTTTAACAGAACTTACAGTGTGGAGAACGTGTGTGAGGGTAATGCAGGCAAGCTTTCGCAGTGTGAGGAGACGTTCATCCAGATCCCAGACGTCACGGTGACCAGCAGTAGTCCTGCAGAAACGGAACCGTTCGAGTGCTACAAGTTTGGAGAACCCTTCGTGGGGCCTTCCTCGTATTACCATCAGGTCTCACCTTACACGGGATATGCCTGTGAGTATAAGGAGTGTGGAGACGCCTGCGGTTACCCCAATAACCCTCTCCCCACTTCTCTGAGAACCCTGAGACCTCAGGAACCCCCCCAGGAAGAGACAGTGTGTGGGAAGGACTTGGGTTGTTTGCCGACCTTTAAGGATCCCATGACCGCACAGACCGGTGAGAAATGCTATGAATGTAACAAATGTGGGGAAGGCTTCTGCAGTTTCTTCTCGTTCTGGACACACGTAGTCGGGAACGAGTGTGAATACGAAGAGAGCTACAAGTCATACAGTTGTCCTCCGTCCCTGATTCTACGTAACTCGTTTCCTAACCGAGGGAAGGCTTACGTCTGTAAGGAATGTGGGAAAGTCTTCAGTTACTCCTCTTCCCTGACCGTCCATCTGCGGACTCACAGCGGGGAGAGACCTTACAAGTGTAACGAATGTGGGAAAGCCTTCACTCAGTCCTCAAAGCTGATTATCCACGTCAGGATTCACCGTGGAGAGAAGCCTTACGATTGTACCATATGTGGGAAAGCTTTCAGGTGTTCCTCCGCCCTCACTAAGCATATAAGAAGACACAGTGGGGTGAGGCCTGTGGAATGTACGGAATGTTGGAAAGCCTTCAGTGACTCTTCGGCCCTCACTAAGCATAGAATCATCCACAGCGGAGATCGCCCTTTTCAGTGTAGCGATTGTGGGAAAGCTTTCAGTCGCTTCTCAACCCTGACTGAACATATGAGAACTCACAGTGGGGAGAAACCGTATGAGTGTCCGGAATGTGGGAAAGCCTTCAGGTGTTCCTCCGGCCTCACCAAACACAGAAGGAGCCATAGCGGAGAGAGGCCTTTTGAATGTCAGGAGTGTGGGAAAGCCTTCAGCGTTTCCTCAGTCCTCACTAAGCATAGACGAACTCACAGTGGAGAGAGGCCTTATGAATGTCAGGAGTGCCAGAAAGCTTTTATAAGTTCCTCTTCCCTCACGGAACATAGAAGGACGCACACTGGGGACCGGCCGTATGAGTGTCAGGAGTGTGGGAAAGCGTTCAGACGTTCTTCACACCTTACCGCTCATAGAAGAACTCACAGTGGAGAGAAACCTTACAAATGCAACCTGTGTACTAAAACCTTCAGCCGTTCCTATTCCCTGTCTCTACACAAACGAAATCACAGCGGAGATAGGCCTTTTGTATGTCAGGTATGTGGGAAAACCTATAATCGTCCTTCAGACCTCGCTAAACATAGTAGAAATCACAGTGACAGCATTCCTTAAGGATGTGGTGGACGAGGGTAAGCGTTCAAGTGTCTCTCGTCCTTCACTGCTCGTCTTTGTTACCAAGTGCTGCATCAACAGAGACCACAAGTGGTTGATTTTACCAAACACATTTATTCTGTCGCAGTTTAGGAGTTTAGAAGTTCAAATTTAGAGTAGCTACTTCTAGGCAAAGGCTTTCTATGTTGACTCTGGAGGAACACCTTTGTTTCCTTTCTGCCGATGGAGGCCCAACATTCTTTGGAAATAATTCATGGGTCTTGGGATCACTCTTCTTCTGAACCTTGGAACTTCACACTTCAGGGACCCATGCCTAAAGGACGTACTCCACTCCTGGCTCTTGTGTCTTGACGATAACAATTCCTTCTAACCTTTGCTTGCTTGTTGAATCTCTTATATCTCACACACACAAAAAAAACAAACCGACTCAGGACTCAGCTTAACTCTACACATTGCATCCTAGACATGAGCTTCATAGAAGTGAAGACTTACAGCGTGAAAGATAATTGAGGCAGATCGGGGCGAGTCAAACCTTGCGGGGATGATCGCATTGTATGCGATCTCGCGATGCAGGGATGACTGTAATCTAACTGCTAAGCCACCGAGAATCCAGGCCCAGCCCAGATGACGCAAAACCGCAAGAATCACAGTTTACTCCTTGCCAATTTGGTATTTTATTTACGTGTCTCCTTAAACCACACGTAATCTCTTAAGTAAATACAGTTAACAAGTGTCTACCTGCACGTACTGCACACAACTGAAAATGCACTAACCCCATTGTGGTGGTGTTGGTAGGTGCTGTCGAGTCATTTCCGACTCATAGCGATCCTGTGCATAACAGAACGAAACACTGCCCGGGTCTGCCATGTTTCCACCGTTGGTTTTATGTTTGAGACCGTTGTCACTGACACTGTGTCGGTCCAGCTCATCGGGGGTCTTCCTCTTTTTGACTTGACCCTCCACTTTACGCAGCATGATAGCTTCTCCCTTCTGATAACATACCCGAAGCACGAGAGATGAAGTCTTGTCATCTCTTCCAAGACACAACCTGAGTGTCCTTCCTCCAAGACAGATTTGTTTCTTCTTCTGACAACCCATGAGGCCTTTCGGGATTCTTCACCAACACCGTAATTCAGAGACACTCATCTTTATGGTCTTTGTTGATTGTCCCAAGTTTCACATGCATAGGATGTGGATGAAAATCCCATGGCTTCCTGTTGCTGTTAGGTGACATCGAGTCGGTTTCTACTCAAAGCGACCCTGTGCACAACAGAAGGAAACACTTGCTGGTTCTGAGCCCACCTCCCAGTGATTGTTACACTAGGACCTGTTGATGCTGCCATTGTACCAGTCCATCTTCGTTACCAGGCATGGTGCCCTTCTCAACTCACTGGTCCAAAGTAGGAGAGACCAAGTCTCACCATCCTGGCCTCCAGGGAGCACGCTGTCTGTACTTTCAAGACAGATTGCCTCGTTCTTCTGACAGTCCATACTGCTGTTAATATTCTCTCAGTATAATAATTCAAACGCATCGATTCTTCTACGGTCTTCCATATACGCTGACCACCTTCCACATGCACATGAAGTGATTGAAAATACCATGGCTTGGACCACGTGGCACCTTAGTCCTCAAGCTGACATCTTTGCTCTTCAACACTTTAAAAAGGTCTTGTGCAGCAGATTTGCCTAATGCAATACGTCGTCTGATTTCTTGACTGCCGCACCCATGAGTGTTGATGGTGGATCCAGGAAGAATGAAATCCTTGACAACTTCAGTGTCTTCTCCATTTATCATGCTGTTATTTATTGGTCCAGTGGTGAGGATCTTTGTTGTCTTTATATTGAGGTAGAATCTATACTGAAGGCTGTGGTCTTTGGTAATTATTTTAAGTCCTCTTCACTTCCAGCTATCAAGTTGATAACGTCTGCATATCGCAGCTTGTTCATGTAATCTAGATGCCATGTTCTTCATATAATCCAGCTTCTCGGATTATTTGCTGAACGGATAGATTGAATACCCTTTGTTTGCAATGTTATCCACAGCTTGTCATGATCCAAACAGTCGAAAGCTGTTTCGTAGTCAATAAAGTAGAAGCAAACATCTCTCTCTCTGCTTCCAGACAAGAGCCACCTTGCAGCATTGGTGCTCTCACCCCCACTGCTACAAACTCTTAATCTAGCTTGACTTTCTGTCAGTGTCCCCTTGTTGTGTTTTTGAATGACCTTCAGCAAACTTGTCCTTGTATGTGACATTCATGATACTGTTCAATGATTTCCACATTCCGTGAGTCACCTCTATTTGGAACGGACACAAATGTGGATCTCTTCCAATCGGTTTGTCAGGCTCCTGTCTTCCAAATATCTTGGCATAGATGAGTGAGTACGTCCCGGACTTTGGTTTGTTTACAGATTCCAGTTTGTAGTCCATCAATTCTCAGAACCTTTTTATGCACCCCGCCAACGCTTTCAGTGCACTTTGGGTTTCTTCCTTCAGTACCTTCTCCTCTTGAACATTTGCTGCCTTTTGGAATGGTTAAACACCAGCCATTTCTTTTTCTTTAATGACTTGTAGCTTTCCTCTTTTGGTGCTTTCTGCATCTTTCAGTCTTTTCCCCACAGAATTCTTACGTACTGCAATCCGAGGCTTGAATTTTTACCTCAGTTTTTTTTCAGCTTTAGGAATCGGGCAGCGTGTTGTTTTGTTTTTCTTTACCAGGTCTTTGCAGATTTCATGCTAATATTTGATTTAGTCTCCTGGATTTTCTGTTCAGCTTTTTTGCTTCCTCATTGTGTCCATTGGCTTAGCGTGTCTCCATAGGAGAGGAAGTCTCAGAGGAAGTCTCAGTCTCTTTTGACGTAACGGTTTGATATTTCTTTCCTGTTTTTTCCAACGAACGTTTGCTTTCTTCCTGCGTCATGTTCTTGATGTCATCCCACAGGTCGGATTCGGTAATTAGCGTCTAATGGATCAAACTTGCTCTTGATATGGCCTCTAAATTCAGATGGCGTAAGTTCACCGTCATATTTTGGCCTTTGCGGATTTGCTTTCATTTTCTTCCGCTTCAGCCTGAAGTTGTATGAGCGATTGATGATCTGTTCTCCAGTCTGCTCCTGGCCTTGGTTTGGTTGATGAAATTCAGCATTTGCACTCTCTTTCTTTCCCCAGATGTAGTCAGTTTGATTCCTGTGTATAACAGACTGAAGAAGTTGATAGAATTCTTCAATTTCATACACACTGGATGGTTTGTGAATTTGACTGTGCGGTATTAGCTGGTCTTCCTCGTAGGTGGATGGATGTTATCCGATGACAGATGCTGTTGCACTTCAAGGCAGATTGTGATGTGTTCTTTTTGATAATGAATGAAAGCTATTCCTCTTCAATTTGTCATTCACGGCATAGTAAACTATGTGATTGTCAAATTCAGAATGGCCAAAAAGGTCCATTTCAGCACCCTGATGCCTAGAACATCAATGTGTATGTGTTCTGCTTCATTTTTGACAATTTCCAATTGTCCTAGATTCGTACTTTGTACATTCCAGGATCCGATCATTAATGTATGTTTGCAGCTGCTTCTCTTCAGAGTTGTGTGCCCTTATCAGTAAATGAAGGCCCCACGGGCTTTACTCCATTCACGTCATCATGGTCAAGTCTGCTTTGAGGAGGCAGCTCTTCCCCAGTCGTATGTTTGAGTGCCTTCCAACCTGAGGGGCTCAACTTCTGGCTCTGTATCGGACAGTAATATCCTGGTGCTATTCATACGGTTTTCATGTTTTAGCATTATTAATAAGGTTTTCAGTGGCTAAACATTCAGAAATCCTCCTCCTCACCTTCTTACTAGTCTGTCTTAGTCTGGAAGCTCCACTGAAACGTGTCCACCATCGTGATCCTGTTGGTACATAAAGTTCTAATGTCAGAGCTTCTGGCATCACGGCAACGCACATGTCACCACAGTCGGAGAGATTGACAGATGACTCATAGACACTTGGGCCACATGAAGTGATACAACGCTGTTGTACAGCTTTCCTGATTTTTAATCCTTTAGTACCCCTGGTGCGGCGCCTCGGGTTAATGCACCAGACTGCAAGTCAGTATGAACCGCAAGGTCGGCAGTTAAAGCTCACCAGCCCGTCCTCGGAAAGCCTATGCAGGGTCGTTGTGGGTCGGAACCGACTCGACGGCACTTAACAACAACAACATTCTGTTTAGGTGTCAGTCTCTTGGTCCACATCCAAGTTCCTCATGAGTACAATTAAGTTCTGTGGAATGTGCAGTCTTTACAGTGTTATTCATAGCTTGTCAGGATCCGCACAGTCGAAAGCCGTTTCATAGTCAATAAAGCACAAGGAAACATCTGTATTCTTTGCTTTCAGCCGAGATCTATGTGGTGTCTGCAGAGATCTCTTTAGATCTATGTTCTCTCTGTATCCGGCGTGAATTTCTGGCAGCTCCTTGTCAGTATACCGCTGCATCCATTTTGTAACGGTCTTCAGGAAAATTTACTTGTATGTGGTATTCATGATACTGTATTTTAATTTTTGTTTTCTCTTCAGTCACCTTTCTTTGAAATGGGCAGAAATAGGAATCTTTTCCAATCGATAGTTATCGAACAAATATCTCAGTACAGACAAATGATTTCAAGATAGCTATTGTACAAATATCTTTGCATAGGTGAGGGGAGCGTCTGCAGCGCCGCATCTAGTCCTTGAAAGCTTTCGTTTGTGATTTTTCAATTCCTGGAGCGTTGGTGTTCAGCAGTGTTTCATGTGCATCTCGGGCTTCTTTCTACGATATTACCAGGTTTTGATCAGACGGTACCTCTTGAAATGATTGAACATTGACCGATTCTTTTTGGTCTAGTGACTCTCTCTCTCTTCCTTTCATCTTTTGATGCTTCCTATGTTGCTCCATATTTTACCTATTGCTCTTGTTGTTGTTGTGAAGTGCCGTTGAGTCAGTTCCGACCCATAGCCATCGTGTTGTATAGGGCTTCCAGGGAGCA